AGGGCAGAGGGGAGGGAGATGAGGGCAGAGGGGAAGAGATGAGGGTAGAGGGGAAGAGATGAGGGCAGAGGGGAGGGAGATGAGGGCAGAGGGGAGGGAGATGAGGGCAGAGGGGAGGGAGATGAAGGCAGAGGGGAGGAGACGAGGGCCGATAGAGCCCTTATTTTGTGCCAGACATTGGGTGGGGTCCTTTGACAAATCACTGGGTGAATACTCACAAGATTGCAAGGAAGGCATCACTAGGCCCCCTTCACAGATGAGGGGAGTCCCTGGGCGGCGCAAATGGTTAAGTGCTCAACTACTAGCCAAAAGGTTGGCAGTTCGAACCCACCCAGAGACGCCTCAGGAGACAGGCCTGGTGATCTGCTTCCAAAAGGTCACAGCCTTGAAAACTCTATGGAGCAGTTCTACTCTGCACACATGGGGTTGCAGACTTGATGGCAAGTAACAACACAGATGAAGTAGCTGAGCTGTGCTCACGGTCGCCACACAGGGAAGCTTGAGAGCTAGAAGTGAGTTTGCACCTAGGTTTGTTTTATTCCTAAGCCCACACTCTTTGCACCATCACATAAACAAGGACAAGGCCACTGCCAAACTACACGGCAGCTTTGGGCCAGTTAGAAAAAGGTGCCCCTTCTGTCTGGAGGGAGTCCCTGGATGGTGAAAATGGTTAATGAGCTCGGCTGCTAATCAAAAAGGCTGGCATTTCAAACCCACCCTGAGGCACCTTGGAAGAAAAGGCTGGTTATCTGCTTCCAAAAATTCAGCCATTGAAAGCCCTGTGGAACACAGTTCTACTCTGACACTCATGGGTTCACGGTATCAGAGTTGATTTGACAACAAGTTGTTTTGTTTTGTTTTGTTTTGTTTTCGGTCCAGAGGCCTCAGGGCACACAGCTTGGCTAGTGGACTGAAGGTTGATTTCTGCCCCTACCTCCCCCTTGGCCAGTCCCCTTGGGAAGGGCAATGCATAACTGCACACTAAAGCCGTGAGCGTCGAGGTGTGTAGGATCTGCACTTGGCCACCAGCCTTTGCATCGGCACACACTTGTGAAAATGGCAACCGTGAAACAGGTCCCAGAGCAGAGTAGGCATGAGTCTTCAGAGGAACTGAGTCGGGGTGCTTGTTCTCAGTGAGAAGGGCAGGGAGCAGAACAGTTAGCTTTCTATCGTGGGGCTGGGGAGCCTCAGGGTGGCTCAAATGGTTAAGAGCTCGGCTGCTAACTGAAACGTTGGAGGTTCAGGTCCACCCAGAGGCACCTTGGAAGAAAGTCCTGGTGATCTACTTCTGAAAAATCAGCCATTGAAACCTCTACGGAGCATAGCTCTATTCTGACATTCATGGGGCCACCATGAGTCGGAACTGACTCAATGGCTTTTTTGTTTAATTGTAAGATTGACACCTGAAACCTCTTGTGGATAACCTGTTTCATTCAATAAAGAGATATTTTCTGAGTTGCCTACTGGTGTTGTGGGTATAAACGAGTACAACATGGCCTTGGGGCTCAGTTTCTATTGAGAGGATGCTGTTGGCACTGGAGGGGTCTCCTGTGGTAGGTTGTATCAGTTGTAAATTATTATGAACACTCTCCCCGGCCTGGCTTCCAGGGGGTGGCGTACACTTCCCCAGTCCGCTAAGATGGGCTTGGCCATGGGGCTTGCTTTGGCTGATGGAATACGAGTGGAAATGGCAGTGTGCCAGTTCTCTGAAGGGCCACCTGCATTTCAATTCACCCTTTGAACCCCAGACCTCCACTCTGAGGACATGGGGTGACCCAGAAAGGTGCTATTCCTTCAGCCTGGGTCTATGAATGGGAAGACATGTGGAGAAGCCTGCGACCACCCAGCAGTGATGACGATGTTTGTTGCTCTAAGTCACTGAGATACTGAGATTGTCTGCTAAGCAGCATCACGGCAGCAAAAGTTGACTAATATGCCGTCCAAGCTTATAGCCCAGACATCAAAACACAGATTTCATCTATGTATCAAATAAGGAGCCCTGGTGGAGTGACGGTTAAGCACTTGGCTGCTAACAAAAAGGTCAGCTGTTTGAACCCACCAGCTGCTCTGCAGGAGAAAGATATGGCAATCTGCTTCTGTAAAGACTATTGTTAGGTGCCATTGAGTCAGTTCCAACTCATAGTGACCCTATGTACAAAAGAACCTAAAACACTGCCCAATCCAGCACCATCCACACAATCCTTGCTATGTTTGAGCCCATTATTGCAGCCACTGTGTCAATCCATCTTGTTGAGGGTCTTTCTCTTTTTCACTGACTCTACCAAGCATGATGTTCTTCTCCAGGGACTGGTCCCTCCTGATAACATGTCCAAAGTACAAGAGACAATGTCTCGCCATCCTTGCTTCTAATGAGCATTCTGGTTGTACTTCTTCCAAAACAGACTTGTTCATTTTTCTGGCAGTATTCTTTCCAATACCATAATTCAAAGGCGTCAATTCTTCTTCTGTCTTCCTTTTTCATTGTCCAGCTTTTGCATGCATATGAAGTGATTGAAAATATTATGGCTTGGGTCAGGCGCATCTTAGTTCCCAAGGTGACATCTTTGCTTTTTAACACTTTAAAGAGGTCTTTTGCAGCAGATTACAGTCTCCGAAGCCCTATGGGGCGGTTCTACTCTGTCGTATCGTGTCGCTGTGAGTCAGAATTGACTGGACCACAACATGTATCTAACACCATGCTAAAGTGAGGTCTTCATTTACAGAAAAGAAGACAGGAGATAGTAAAAAATTCAGTTTGATATTTGAAATGGATGGGTAACTGAGTGTTCTTTATGTCAAGTTCTGACAAAAACCAACACCTCGGAAATGCTTTGAGTGGTACTGTATAACAAAACCCCATGATAGAAAAACAAAACCCCATGATAGAAAAACAAAAGAAGCCCTCACCGTTAATCCATTGCTGATGCGCTGAAGGACCTTGAGGCTTTGATTTAACGTACTCTGGTGAACAAACAAAGGTAATGTTTTCCAAATCATTACATGAAGCAGCAAGATCACTTGCCTTGTGTTCTCCCCTCCCCCAAGTCAGTCATCAAATCCAACTTTACACTTAATGATTTTATTCTAGAAAAAGAATGGACACAGGTAACAATGTGTGCCTTATATGTCTCTGAAGAAGACAGTCAACATATTTATTCTAAAGCTTTAAAGGTTAGTATAGCATATGCAGGAAACCCTGGTGGCGTAGTGGTTAAGTGTTGCGGCTGCTAACCAAAAGGTCAGCAGTTCGAATCCACCAGGTGTTCCTTGGAAACTCTACAGGGCAGTTCTACTTTCTCCTATAGGGTTGCTATGATTCAGAATCGATTTGACAGCAATGGGTTTGGTTTTTTGGTTTTATAGCACACACAAGGTGTCCAAAAAAATCCCTTGGAGTTAGATTTGATAAAAGTGCAAGGTATTATCTAAAATAAAGCCTACCTAAGAAGAGTGTTTTTTTTGCATGGCTTAGATCAGACATTGGCAAACTTTACCTGTAAAGGGCCAGATTGTAAATATTTCAGACTTTACAGGCCATACCCCATCCCAACTACTCAACTGTGCCCTGTAGCCAAATGCAGCCACAGACTACATGTAAACAAATGGAGCTATGAGCCAATAAAACTTTATTTACAAAAACAGGCAGCAGGCCAGATGTGGCCTGCAGGCTGCAGTTTGCAGGGCCGTAGTTTGCCAACCCCTGGTTCAGCTTCTGGTCACATACAGAAGACAATTTGTCTATGCATAGACAGTTTTCCCTGTCTCTGAAAAGGCCAAAGCATCCTGTGCACTTGAAGGGAAGCATTTAGAAATGCGAAACAGTCTTAAAATGTGATCAAATTTGTGTTAGGAACAAACAAATATAGTATGGGACTGTGGGATTTTTAAGCACAGCATAAAAATTAAGAAAATTCAACAGCGGGAATTTTTTGTGAGTAATCAATTAGAAAGTCAGGAGACAAAAAAAAAAAAGATAGTAAAACTAGTTCCAGAAGGTTCTAAAGCAGTAGATTTGTATGCTTCTCCCAACCTGAGCAAGCTGACTTAGTAACCCACTTTCTGCACAGTCCTCCCCTTGACAACAGCAAACACTAGCTGCATGTGAACGTAATAACATTTTTTCCTATTTACTGAGTCCCTATGATGCTTCATCTCAATGAAACAGGTAATAGCAAAGCATTGTTCCATCATTTTTAGCTGATGTCATGGATTGCATTGTATCCCCCCAAAAATGTGTGTAGCAGCTTGCTTAGGTCATGATTCCCAGTATTGTACGATTGTGTAATCTGATGTGATTTTCTTATGTGTTGTAAACTCTATCACTATGATGAAGTTGTATGTGATCTCCTTATGTGTTGTAAATTCTATCACTGTGATGAGGTTATGCTGATGAGGTTTACAAGATTAGACAGTGTCTTAATCCAATCTCTTTTGAGATATAAAAGAGAGAAGCGAGAAGAGACACATGGGAACCTTATACTACCAAGAAAGCAGTGCCGGGAGCAGAGCGCATCCTTTGGACCTGAGGTTCCTGCACAGAGAAGCTCCCAGACCAAAGGAAGACTGATGACATGGACCTTCCTCCAGAGCCAACGAAGAAAGCGTTCCCCTGGAGCTGATGCCCTGAATTTGGACTTGCAGCCTATTGGATTGCGAGAGAATACACTTCTCTTTGCTAAATCCATCCACTTGTGGTATTTCTGTTAGAGCAGCACTAGATGACTAAGGCAGGTGAAGAGCTGAGAAGCTACAACACTTGGAAAGGCAGAAGCAGGATTTGAAACCAGGTCTGTCTGACCGCAAAGCTCACCTTCTCCTGCTACAAACTGCCTTTATTATTTCATTAAAGAAAGAAGCAAGAAGGCAGTGAGAAGAGGAGGAAAAAGAAAGTCAGAAAATAGGATGGGAGAAGTGAGAAGCAAAGCTGTGGCCCTGTGATGGTAAACTTCATGTGTCAACTTGGCTAAGCTATGGTGCCCTGGTGTTTTGTCAAACACTAGTCTAGGTGCTGTCGTGAAGTATTTACATGTGATTAAATCAGCTGGCCTCTGATTACCTTCCACAATGTGAGTCGGTCTCGATTAACCAGCTGAAGGCCTTAAGAGCAAAAAGGAAGCTTTTCCTAGGATGTATTCTGTCTCCAGACTATACACAGACATCTTTCCAGAACGCTCTTACTCTTCACTCTTGCCATCACCTGACCTAGGGATTTAGGGACACAAGCCTGCAGGAATCTCCAGCCTGTCACTTGACCTACAGATTTTGGACTTACTAGCCTCCTACAATCGCATGAGTCAATTTCTTAAAATAAATCTATCTATAGTGATATATATACCAAGAAAACCAAACCTGTTGCTGTCAAGTCGATTCTGACTCATAGCAACCCTATGGGACAGAGCAGAACTGCCCCACAGGGTTTCTGAGGAGTGGCTGGTGGATTGGAACTGCTGACCTTTTGGTTAGCAGTTGAGCTCTTAACTACTACGCCACCAGGCTCCATATATATGTCTGCATAGGTAGACAGATAGACAGACAGACAGACAGATCTATTGATGTAGAGATATATGTCCCTGAGTGGCACAAACAGTTAAGTGCTCGACTACTAGCTGAAAGGTTGACTTCAAACCCACCCAGAGGTGCCTTGTAAGATAGGCCTGGTGATCCGCTTCCTAAAGGCCACAGCCTTGCAAACCCTATGGAGCACAGTTCTATTCTGCACACATGAGGTGACCATAAGTCAGGATTGACTCAATAGCGACTAACAACAACAGCAATAATGTGCGTGTGTATGTGTGTGCATATGTACCTCACTGATTCTGTTTCTCCAGAGAACCCTAAGGCGGCCATCAAAACAGCAAGTGGAATCGAAGTGAAACATAAAGAAGGGCACTTACCCTAGCTTTCACGTATTTCTTGACAGCGTTTGGAGAAAAAGAATTTGAGAATAAGTATGAGTGAGTTCAGAAGAACAGCATCAGAACTTTGGCTAAATACACGGCTTAGGAGGGCCTTTTAACAGCAATGGAAATTAGAGCAAGATGGATGAGGCTACTGCAGATTTAATCATAAATGTTCACACTCAAATGGAAAAAGGAAAGGAAATAAACAGAAAAGGGGTGGTGACATTTGTGTTTTGTCCCCTTAATATTTTACTACTTTAACACCTGGCTGCTGAAATTTATTTTTAAAACAGCTCCATTTCTTAGGCTGAGGCCATGTGCTTTGACCCACATGCAAGGAAAAGACGTCACTGGGCTAAATGAAAGCCAATTCTCGGAAATGGATTTTGTGCAATGGCAAAGCGAAATACCAGAGGCTGCTTATTGTTACCATTGATCGTTCCAAAGGAATAACTTCACGTTGGTGAATTCTTTTAATACTCTGGGCATGACCGTCCAGGGACGTTTTCAAAGCTCCTGGGGGCTACAAAGAGAAGAAAATAAACAAAGATCAACACCAGCTTTCCCAACTCTAGATGCTCTTGCTAACTACGCGAGCTCCAGTTGGTCACGTCATAGCATGTGGCCTTCCTTGTACATGACGGCCTTGGGGGCTGGAGCCAGCCTGATGGGGCAGGACCAAGAGATCCTGATTCAAATCATAGAACCACGCTCCCAGGCTCTTTCTCATTCAACTTCCCCCTTTTACAGATGAGAAAACCAAGGCTCAATTGAGAAATTTTTATTTATTTAACTCATACTTAAACAGTATCTGGTCTATGCCAGGTCCTGCTTAGAAGCTTTACAAATGTTAATGTACAACAATCCTATAAGGCAGATACTACTATTATACCCATTTTACAGATGAGGGAACTCAGGCACAGAGAGGTGAAGAATCTTGCCCAAGTTCTCACAGTTAGGAAGATTCTGAGTTGGAATTTAAATCTGGGTCCCACTCAGAGCCCAGGCTCCTTGTCACCATGCTTTGCTGCTGCTGTAAAGGGATCATTCAGTCACCAACCAGCACAGGAGTTGATAAAGGGGGAGCTTACGGGGCTTGGATGGTGTCTCTGTTACCCCTTATCCACTTGCTATTGGAGATTAAAGCACCAAATGAAATCTTCCTCCTTTCAGGCCCTTAGTTACCATTCACCTACACTGCAAGGAAAATGATGTACGTACATGCGTGTGTGTGTTGGGAGGAGGGCGTGGAGGGGTTGATGGTGATGAAAGCTGGCCTGGTGATCAGGTGCCAGGGCCCCAGCACTGAGCGTAGCAGTATTGCGGGTACAGGTGTGTACACTCTAAAACAGCCTTGGAAACGGTCACTGCTCACAGCGGTGTGGGCCACACTGCCACAGCCGCTGACGAGAGGCGGTTTTAACAAGGAATGACTCACGGTAGAAGGAACCTCTTCGGTAGCTTCTCTAAGAACGGTATTGACATTTGACAGCCACAACTATTACAACCTTTCATTGAACTATTTGGTGGCACAGTGGTTAAGCGCTCAGCTAACTGAAAGGTTGGCGGTTCGAACCCACTAGCTGCTCTGTGGGAGAAAGACGGGGCAGTCTGCTTCCGTAAAGATTACAGTCTTGGAAACCCCGTGGGGCAGTTCTACTCTGTCCTATAAGGTCTCTATGAGCTGGAATCAACCCGATGGCAGCAGATATTTGAACTCACCAAACGGCTTGCTGTTACAAGTAGATTATCAGCAAATGATACAAGATTCACTTTTGTGAGGTTTTTACCGATCTAAAAAAGAAGTGGGAAAAACTTGTGTCACAGAGATGGATTTTTTTTAAACCTTAACATCTAATAAACAGTAGATTGAACATAGGTCCATAACCATAATGTAATGCTGGAAAATCTTACATAGGTAACAACATCTGCATTCTTATTTCTACATATAAAAAAACACACATCTGATGCTCTCATTGACCCCAAAAGTTCAAATGTGAACACCTCAGTCATACCTCCATCAAGTAAGCTGTATAGTCTATCTTCTCTACTCCCAGAGTACTGAAATCCTCAAGGCTTTGTTTTCCTGCGTCATCCAGCAGAACTATATTGTCAAGGTTTATGTTCAGATGTTCAAATTCATTGGTTATGTCTTGGGTGTACTGCATGATAAAAAGAAAAGTTACAAGTAAATTCATTATTCGCCAACAATTTCACATAACTAATGCTTTAAGGAGCTATAAAAATACACCAAAACCAAACCACACCTGTTGCTGTGGAGCCGATTCTGACTCATAGCAACCCCATGTGACAGAGTAGAACTGCTCCATAGGGTTTTCTTGGCTGTAATGTTTACTAAAGCAGATCACTAGGACTTTCTTCCATGGTGCTCTTGAGTGGGTTCGAACCACCAACCTTTAAGTTAGTAGTTAAGCGCTTAACAATCTGTGCCATGCAGGAACACAGGGCCAAAAAATAATATGAATGCACCTGAATGGCATTTCTTTCTGGTACTCTTCTCTTCCTTCCACTCCTTCCCTGCCTCCTTCTTTATGCCTCACTCCAACTACTATGCAAGGAGGTAGGATGCAAAGCAAAATAAATATTTCACTGCACCCTCAAAGACCTCAAAGGGAAGAGGCTGTGTCATAATAGAGGTATATGAACGGCATCAGGATGCCAGGGGAGATCAAACCAGAAACCAAACCTGTTGCCATCAAGTGGATTCCGACTCATAGCAACCCTATGCCATCAAGTGGATTCCAACTCATAGCAACCCTATAGGACAGGGTAGAACTGCCCCACAGGGTTTTCAAGGAGTGACTGGTAGATTCGAACTGCTGACCTTTTGGTTAGCAGCCAAGCTCTTAACCATTGTGCCACCAGAGGATACCAGGAATAAAAAAAGTGGGCTGGAGAGGGCATTACAGAAGTGGCTTCTGAGCTGTGCCTTGACAAAGAGATGTTGAAAGGGGCAGGGCAGGCTAACATTCCAGAAGGGACTGGTCCTCACCAGACTTGAGTGCCAAGAAGACAAGGAGATATCATTTGGGGAATGGTGTTTACCATATTTTTATGCAAATACCGTGCATCTTCTACATTTGTTTGCCAACTGTGCCCTCCCCCCGCAAGGTATTTTTGTAAATGCTGCTATGCCAAAGTTTTTCACATGTTGCTGTAAAAAAAAAAAAAAAAAGCATAGTATGTTTATGAAAATACCAGTTGGCAAACAGACGTAGAAGATGCTGCGTTATTTGCATAAAAGTATGGTAGTAATTTGGGCCAGAGACCATGGAAACATGGTTGTTGACTCAGGGCTGTTGTAAGAGCCAGTCAGCATGGAGTGACTACTCTTTCCCAGGGTGGCCCTTCCCAGCCTCTACACATCACAGAAGAGAGAAAATGACACGTGGCCTGATGGAGTGAGTGACAGGGGCAGCTATTTAGGGTTTAGGTAAAAAATTCTATTTTATTTTAAGAAGATAATAAACACAAATTTCACCTAAAACTTTCAAATAAACTTCTCCACATTAGAAAACCGCCAAGCCATCTTGGCCTCACGGTACCCTGGAAGCGTGCCATGCAGCCTCAGTGGGCTGCTGTGAGGTTGGGGAAGTAACCTTCTCCCTTGGTCTCCGTTCCCATTCTGGGAGTCTCAAAGAAAGAGGGCTCTTTAGAATCTTTCTAAAGAAGAGGCCCTCCAGTATGGGCCAGCAGCACCCGAGGCCTGGGAAACTTAAATGCTGTAGCTCTTGTTGCTACTTTCTGCTGATGTGCTCTGAGACGGCAATGGCCTGTCCTTGGAGTCTTAAGACTAAGATTCAGGTGTGAGCCTGGGTGAATGAGGAGAAAAGGTCATCATTCCCCTCCATCCACTTTGATCCACGATCCCAGGCTGCCTCTTGCTAAGGGCCAGCCAAGCTCACCACAGCCCACCCTTCAGTCCTGGGGCCAGAGCCACGACTCATAAGGAATGTTGATGGGGTGGACCACAGTTCACAGTGCATAATTCTCTCTTCATGGACCTGGCAGGAAAGGGTGGTTGGTCTCGGAGAACATTTAGGTGTTCTCTAGCCCTTGAGTCAAAACCACAGGATTCATTTGGATAGATGGGAGACAGAAGGGGGAGTTCCCTGTGACTGGAACTGCAGAAGCACGTGAAAGGAACAAAGGTAAGAGAGACACTTACACTAAGGTCAAGATGAACAGGGTTTGATGACTGACTTGCCCAACAGCCAAGTCAGAGCTCAGGTTCAGGTAAGTACGGCACTGTGGATAAAGCAGGATTCGCTATGGTTTAATACCTCTCCTAAGATGGACTCCCACAGCAATCTCCTTGGGAACCGAGATAGACTTATTCCTATAAGAACATCTATACTCAGTGACATAAAAATTTTCCCTGTGAACTTGCCAGCAACCAAAACCAGTTGCCGTCGAGTCCATTCCAACTCATGGTGACTCCATGTGTGTCAGAGTAGAACTGTGCTCCATAGGGTTTTCAATGGATGGTTTTTTGTAAGTAGACCACCAGGCCTTTCTTCCCAAACACTTCTGGATGGATTCGAACCTGGGTGGATTTGAGCAGCCAAGTGTGTTAACCACTTGAACCCCCTAGGGCCTCTGAAGTGTCCACAGTGAGGTCCTTTTAAAAAATCTTGCATATCTGTGAGAAAAACTCAAGCTGCAAGAAAAGCGGTTGGGGGTGATAAAAATGTTTTGGAACTAGATAGAAGTGATTGTTGTACAACATTGTGAATGTACCAAATGCTACTAAAGTGTACACTTTAGTGTGTTTACTTTTGTGTTATGTGTTTACCTCAGTTAAGAAAAAAAATGAAGAAGAAGAAAGATAATTGGTTGGATTTAGTAGAGAAATATATCAATCCCAAGACTGGTTCTAATTACTTACCTCTTGAATGTTGAGATGTGCACTGACATTGAAGAGGTTCTCAAGCTGCAGTGAGGTATAAATGCCTTTGTTTTCTTTGCAATCACTGTGAGAACAAACAGAGCAATCATGATCCAAAACGGCAGTTGTGGTTACCTCTGCTCATTGCTAAGGATGAAGACAAAGGTTAACTGGTTTCCTGTGCTTATTCTGTGAACACAGGAGTGGTTTCTAGGTGTCAGTGCGGTAGCCAGTCAAACCTCCAGCAACTCCCATCACTCCCAGCTTCTTCCTGGCTTAGCTAACAATCCCATTTTTAGAACAGATACAATGAGATTGGTAAATATGTCCCTCTAGCTGTCTCTTTTGTTTCCAGTGCTGTTAGGAACAACCACGTCTCCAAACTGAGAAAAAATAAATTCTTAAAACAAAACATCACTTATTAGAAAGAGGTGAGCTGCAAAGCACATAATGGGATTTATTAAGAGATCCGATCAAGCCCCTGCCAAGACCTTTTCCTCTCCATACTTTCAAGGTTGAGCCTGACTTACTATATGGATAGACGTATGTGCCAATGGCTGGGGATGGGAAGGAGGAGGAGACCACTGATATCCAAATGGTCAGTACACTTTGGCTATAGACCTAACTCAGTCACCTCAGTGATCTGGGTAAAATAGCCCCACTTCTCTGTGCTCCAATCAACTCAATGACAAACAAAAAAGCACAACAACCTTTTACTTGGGGTAGTTTTCATCAATTTGTCATACTATGGTAGCTTGCATGTTGCTGTGATGCTGGAAGCTATGCCATTAGTTATTTCAAATACCAGTAGGGTCACCCATGGTAGACAGGTTTCAGCAGATCTTCCAGACTAAGACAGACTAAGACAAAGGACCTGGCGGTCTACTTCTAAAAAAATTGGCCAGTGAAAACCTTATGAATAGCAGCAGAACATTGTTTGATACAGTGCTGGAAGATGAGCCCCTCAGGTTGGAAGGCACTCAAAATACAACTGAGGAAGAGCTGCTTCCTCAAAGTAGAGTCGACCTTAATGATGTGGATGGAGTAAAGCCATCAGGATCTTCGTTTGCAGATGTGGCACGACTAAAAATAAGAAGAAACAGCTGCAAACATCCATTAATAATCAGAACGTGGAATGTAAGAAGTACGAATCCAGGAAAATTGGAAGTAGTCAAAAACAAAATGGAACATATAAAGATCAATATCCTAGGCATTAGTGAGCTGAAATGGACTGGCACTGGCCATTCTGAATCAGACATTCATATGGTCTATTACGACCGGAATGGCTAATTAAAGAGTGATGGTGTCGCATTCATCGTCAAAAAGAACATTTCAAGATATATCCTGAAGTACAGTGCTGTCAGTGATAGCTTAAATCCACACACTTACAAGGAAGACCACTTAATACAACTATATCCAAATTTACACACCAACCATTAATGCCAAAGATGAAGAAATTAAAGATTTTTATCAAATTCTGCAGTCTGAAATTGATCAAACATACAATCAAGATGGGTTGATAATTACGGGTGATTAGAATGAAAAGGTTGGAAACAAAGAAGAAGGACTGGTAGGTGGAAAATATGGCCTTGGTGGCAGAAACAATGCCAGAGATTGCATGACAGAATTTTGCAAGACCAACGACTTCTTCATTGCAAATACCTTCTTTCAACAACATAAACAGCAACTATACACGTGGACCTCACCGGAAGGAATACACAGAAATCAAATCGACTACATCTGTGGAAAGAGACGATGGAGAAGCTCAATATCACCAGTCAGAACAAGGCCAGGGGCTGACTGCAGAACAGATCCTCAATTGTTCATATTCATTTTCAAGGAAATTAAAACAAGTCCACAGAGCCAAAGTACGACCTTGAGTATATCCCACCTGAATTTAGAGAACATCTCAAGAATCGATTTGATGCACTGAACGTTAAAGACTGAAGACCAAAAGAGTTGTGGGATGACATCAAGGACATCATACATGCAGAAAGTAAGGGTTATTAAAAAGACAGGAAAGAAAGAAAAGACCAAAATAGATGTCGGAAGACTTTGAAACTTGCTCTTGAAAATAGACTAGCTAAAGCGAATGGAAGAAATGATGAAATAAAAGAGCTGAAAAGAAGATTTCAAAGTGCAGCTCAGGAAGACAAAGTAAAGTATTAAAATGAAACATGTAAAAACCTGGAGTTAGAAAACCAAAAGGGAAGAACATGCTTGGCATTTCTCAAGCTGAAAGAACTGAAGAAGAAATTCAATCTTCAAGTTGCAACACTGAAGGATTCTATGGACAAAATATTGAACGACATAGGAAGCATCAAAAGAAGATGGAAAAATACACAGAGTTACTGTACCAAAAAGAAATGGTTGACTTTCAACCACCTGTGGAGGTAGTATATGATCAAGGACCAATGGTACTGAAAGAAGACGACCAAGCTGCACTGAAGGCATTGGCAAAAAACAAGGCTCCAGGACTTGACGGAATACCAATTGAGATGTTTCAACAAACAGATGCAATGCTGGAGGTGCTCACTCGTCTATACCAAGAAAGTTGGAAGACAGCTACCTGGTCAACTGACTGGAAGAGATCCATATTTGTACTCATTCCAAAGAAAGGAGATCCAACAGAATGCAGAAATTATTGAACAATGTATCGCATACAAGTAAAATTTTGCCAAAGATAATTCTAAAATAGTTGCAACAGTACAAAGGAACTGCCAGAAATTCAAGCCGGATTCAGAAGAGGACATGGAACAAAGGATAGGTATCATTGCTGTTGTCAGATGGATCCTGGCTGAAAGCAGAGAATACCAGAAGGACATTTACCTATGTTTTATTGACTATGCAAAAGTACCAGGCTGTGTAGGTCATAACAAGTTATGGATAACATTGCAAAGAATGGGAATTCCAGAACATTATTTGTGCTCAAGAGGAACCTGTACATAGACCAAGAGGCAGTCATTCAAACAGGACAAGGGGATACTGACTGGTTTAAAGTCAGAAAAGGTGTGCGTCAGGGTTGTATCCTTTCACCATACTTATTCAATCTGTATGCTGAGCACATAATCCAAGAAGCTGGAGTGTACGAAGAAGAATGTGGCGTCAGGATTGGAGGAAGACTCATTAACAACCTGCTATATATAGATGACAAACCTTGCTTGCTGAAAACGAAGAGGATTTGAAGCACTTACTGATGAAGATCAAAGACCATAGCCTTCAGTATGGATTACACCTCAACATAAAGAAACAAAAATCCTCACAACTGGACCAATAAGCAATATCATGGTAAATGGAGAAAAGACTGAAGTTGTCAAGGATTTAATTTTACGTGGATCCACAATCAACACCCGCGGAAGCAGCAGTCAAGAAACAATGTATTGCACTGGGCAAATCTGCTGCAAGAGACCTCCTTGAAGTGTTAAAAAGCAAAAATGTCACTTAGAAGACTAAGGTTCACCCGACCCAACCTGCAATATTTTCAATCACCTCATATGCATGCTTAAGCTGGACAATGAATAAAGGAAGACCTAAAAAGAATTGATGCCTTTGAATTATGGTGCTGGCGAAGAATACTGAATATACCTTGGGAAGCCCTGGTGGCACAGTGGTTAAGAGCTGCGGCTGCTAATCAAGAGGTCAGTGGTTTGATTGTACTACCTGCTCTTGGAAACCCTATGAGACAGTTCTACCCTGTCCTATAGGATCCCTATGAGTCAGTTTGGTTTAGTTTGGCCAGAAGAAGAAACAAACCTGTCCTGGAAGAAGTACAACCAGAATGCTCCTTGAAACGAGTACGGCAAGACTTTATCTCACGTACTTTAGACATATTATCAGGAGGGATCAGTTCCTGCAGAAGAACATCATGCTTAGTAAAGCAGAGGGTCATCGAAAAAGAGGAAGACCCTCAACGAGATGGATTTACACAGTGGCTGCAAGAATGGGCTCAAACATAGCAATAATTGAGAGGGTGGTGCAGGACCAGGCAGTGTTTTGTTCTGTTGTACACGAGGTCACTTTGAGTTGGAACCAACTTGATGGCACCTAACAACAACAAGTGAGTCTTAAAAGTTCCTGGCTAGTGCACACAGTTAAGCGCTTGACTGCTGACTGAAAAGTTGTTGGTTCAAACCTCTCCAGAGGCATCTTGGAAGTAAAGCCTGGTGATCTGCTTCCAAAAGGTCACAGCCATGAAGACCCTGTGGAGCACAGTTCTACTCTGCAACACACAGGGTCACCAGGAGTCAGAATCGACTTGAAGGCAACTGTTTTGGTTTTGTTTTTTAGTTGAGTCTTGAACAAGGTTCTCCACAGGGTCCTGCTACTCCACCTTAACCACCTTAAGCAGTGAGTGCCAGTGAGGACCTGAGACATCACCGTCCCAAGACCCGGAAGGCTTTCAGGACAAGGATTATCGTTTTGTTTTCATTTCCATTGCCTCTTTGCTAAGACTACAGGACGGCCTAATCCTGAAACTAGAAAATCTTATCACCTAGGTTAAAAATTGCTTTCGAAAGCAGAATTCTTATTCTGGAAAAAGACCATTTTAAGCAGCAAATTTTATGTAATTTTTCATACCTGTAAACTTTTTCAAAAGTGAGATTGATATATGGTTTCTGAAACATCCAGCCAGAAACATAGTATTCCCATTTCTCATTTAGTAAGTATGGTGTGTCCAAAATCTAGAAGAAATTAAAAAGCATTTTTCTTTGAAAACACAGTTTTACACGAACATACGTACATAATAAAATATTCTGTTAAATCTGTTTTTGAGATTTTTGCACATCATAGTTTTTTCTGGCTGCTTTTCAACTTAAAACTAGAAAATGCTAGTGTGATTGGAATAAATCAATCGACCAAGTATCAACAGGAATTACAGGGCATTTTGAGAACCTTTTATTTTAGTAAAACAAACACATTAGAAATGTGAGCAAACTGGACAATCTGATTGAGAATCAGTAATAGAAGGCCACAAGGCAGTTGACCCAGTTTGCCACCTCTCCCTGAACAAAATCAATGAAAACTCACAGCTCTCTCTAACTGAAGGCTGTACACTGAAACCTGTGAGAGCTGGAACTCAAAGGGACTGCCTTGTTTTCCTGGGTCTTGCAAGTTTTCTGCCTTTGACAGGATGCAGTTTACCACTTTTCTATCACTTTGTAATTAGTGGAAAATATTTGAGTTTTCCTTCTCTGACAGGTTTCTGCCTTATACAGCATACGGCTTTCACAGGTTTCACTGTATATATTTAAGATGGGCAAAATTACTACATAACTGTGCGTGTGCATGAGGAGTGCAGACAGTTTCAAAATATCCTCCTTTTTCAGCAGTGCTTTTTCAACACCCTATGGAAGGACACCTGGCTTTATGCAACAATTATGTAACATTTACATATATGTTACATTATTATTTTTAACACATTAATACGTTATTATATTTTATCAAAAAGCCAAATGGAGAAAATCTGACAAATTGACCCCTCAATTTAACAGCCTTCAACCAAGTGAATACCTAAAATATCACAACAACTGGTTACTTCCACAGTCATTCACAAGATTTCATAATAGATTTGAAGTGGAAAGGCAGATACAATAAAAAAGGAAAATAAAAATATATTTAAAAATCAGGATCTGGAGGAAACCACTGGAAAGCCAAAGTCAGAAGACAGACACATAGACCAAAACATCCTCCTTAATGCCAGTTGGTCCTCTAGAGTCAGTAGTAGTGGTTTTCAAAGGGAAGACTGAATCGAATTCCTGACTGCCCCATCAGGACGACCCTCTGCCATGGGGCATGTGCTTTACCAGCCTCTTTCCTTTTCACCTTGAGACCTCCAAACCATCTGTGTGGGCATCTTCCTCACCCAGGAAATTCTTTTAAAATGTCAGAAACCCCCTGGGGTGTGTGGGAGGGACCTGGGAATCTATCTTCTGATTTCTCAGTCACATTTAGGAACTACCGCTTAGGAGAATTTTACTCTCCCAAAACATTACAATCCACGCTGATGAGCAGGCCTTAACTCTTGGTACTGATTTCATTTACAACCAGAAGATAAGAATACTACCTTTTTTTTTTTTTCCTTTTACAAATTAAAGGATCTTAACTTGTTGAGTTAAAAATAAACTGCTCATGGATTGGAAGGCTTAATATGGTTAAGATATCAATACTACCCAAATGATATGGCGCTTCCTTAAAAAGTTAGAAATAGATATACCATATGATCCAGCAATCCCACTCCTAGGAATATATCCTAGAGAAGTAAGAGTCACCACACGAATAGACATATGCACACCCATGTTCACTGCAGCATTATTCATCATAATAGCAAAAAGACGGAAACAACCTAGATGCCCATCAACAGATGAATGGATAAATAAACTACGTTACATACACACAGTGGATTACCATGCAACAATAAAGAATCATGATAAATCTGCAAAACATCTCACAACACAGATGAATCTGGAAGGCATTATGCTGAGTGAAATAAGTCAATCACAGAAGCCCAAATACTGCATGAGACCACTATTATAAAAACTCATGAAAAGGGTGACATACAGAAAGAAACAGTCTTTGACAGTTACTAGGGAGGGGAGGGAAAAACACTAACTAGACAATAGATAAGTGGTAACTCTGGTGAAGCGTAAGGCAGTGTACAACACTGGGGAAGTCAGCACAACTTGACCAAGGCAAAGTCATAGAAGATTCATAGACACATCCAAACTCCCTGAGGGACGAAATTACTGGGCTGAGTGAGGGCAGTGGGGACCATGATCTCGGAGGACATCTACCTCAATTGGCATAACATAGTTTATAAAGAAAATGTTCTACATGCTACTTTGGTGAGTGGCGTCTGGGGTCTTAAAAGATTGTGAGTGGCCATCTAAGATACTCCACTGGTCCCACCCTGTCTGGAGCAAGGGAGAATGAAGAAAACCAAAGACACAAGGGAAAGATTAGTCCAAAGGACTAATGGACCACAAGTACCCACAACCTCCACCAGACTAAGTCCAGCACAACTAGATGGCGCCCAGCTACCCCCACCAACTGCTCTGACAGGGATCACAATAGAGGGTCCTGGACAGAGGTGGAGAAAAATGTCGAACAAAATTCTAACTCACAAAAGAAGACCAGACTTACTGATCTGACAAAGACTGGAGAAACCCTGAAAGTATGGCCCCCGGACACCCTTTTAACTCAATTCTGAAGTCACTCCTGAGGGTCACCCTTCAGCCAAAGATTACACAGGCCCATGAAACAAAATGGGACTAAATGGGCATACCAGCCCAGAGGCAAGGGCGAGAAGGCAGGAGGGGACAGAAAAGCTGGTAATGGGGAACACAAGGTCGAGAAGGGGAGAGTGTTGACATGTTGTGGGGTTGGCAACCAATGTCACAAAACAATACGTGTATTAATTATTTAATAAGAAACCAATTTGCTCTGTAAACCATGTAAAGTACAATAAAAAAAGAAAAAGAAAACTTGCTCATCCCTTCTTGCTCTGCTCTTGAAGAAACCCACAAGATAGTGGGCAATCAAAAAGTTTCCAATTAAATCCTTTCATAATTGGTACAAAAAACTATTTACCTGGAATAACTTCCTGTTTTCATAAGGTTCACAGACTAATTTTTGAACATTTCCACCAATGAAAAAAGTAAGAGCCACGATGATCATCAAGATCCAGCAAACAAGGAAACTTACTCCAACTCCACTGGAGAAAAAGAAAAAGAAAATCAATTTGACAAGGAATTATTCAATTTTAGCTACGAGTGCTTACTTTTTCTACCTATTAAATGTATAAAATGGACCTGGAATCTGCAGCTTTTTGCAGGTGAAACAGGCGAGCCCTACCCAGGTGTGAACATAGAAAGTGTTAAACACAGTGATCTTTCAGTCCTTGGCACATACTTACTGAATCCTTACACAGCTGATAATCTTTGGTCTATGTGCAGCCCGCTCGGCAGTTCAGAGTATGAGCTCTAGGATCAGGTGAGTGAACCAGGACTTTCTGCAGAGGATACAGTGGGTGGGAAGTTTCTTAGGCAGGAAATGCACACTAAGAGTCTGGAGAGAGCTGTGAGTGATGGAGACAGCCATGAATGGTGGAGAGATGGAGGAGAGAGCTGTGAATGGTGGTGAGATGATAGAGGGAGCTGTGAATGGCTGAGACGGTGGAGAGCCGTGAATGGTGGAGGGAGCTGTGAATGGTGGAGAGAGCTGTGAATGGTAGAGAGAGCTGTGAATGGTGGAAAGAGTTGTGAATGGTGGAGAGAGTCATAAATGGTGGAGAGAGCTGTGAATGGTGGCGAGATGATAGAGCTGTGAGTGGCAGAAAGATGGTGGAGAGAGTCGTGAATGGTGGACAGAGCCGTGAATGGTGGAGAGCCGTGAATGGTGGAGAGCTGTGAATGGTGGAGAGATGGTGGAGAGAGCCGTAAATGGTGAAGAGATGGTGGAGACAGCTGTGAATGGCTGTGAGATGTGGAGAGGGCTATGAATGGCAGAGTCTGAGGCACCTCTGGATGTGTTCAAATCACCAACCTTTCAGTTAGCAACCGAGTGTGTTAACTGTTTGCACCACCCAGGGACTCCCAGATGCTCCCTAGACCCTAGAAGACACAAGAACAGAAAGGAGCTAAGGCTCTCTGCTGTCCTTCCTTACAGATCATTCGTTAGCATCCTTTAGGAAGATAAGGATCCTTGTTTGGTTTTTAAAGACATCATGAACTTGATTGGGCAGTGCCACCACTTGTAAAGAGCAGGTGGTGTTTCATTTACAGCAGAACTAAGTGTACTCCTTCTGGTTTCTACGAGCAAGTAAACAGTTTTAAAGAAGAAATTGCATTCTTCTAATTAGTCTGATTAGCCTGACTACACTTGCATCATTTCCCCCCTTTGCAATTCTCCAGCTGTTTACCAGAGGTCTCAAGAGATAGGCAATTCTGACAAGCACACCAAACCATGTCATGGCTGAGCGGTAAGGTCCAACTGTGAAGAAATCAGATCAACCCTAAGTCTGCAGACCACCTGAAATAAATCTGACATCTTAGAGTTACCTGCTTTTTTCCTACTGCTGAAATAAGTCTTACTGCCTCCAACCCATAGGTTTCCATGTGATTTTTTGTCTCTCTAGACATTCCTTTCCTCCACGTGTCTGTCAGTTTGTCATACTGTGGGGGCTTGCGTGTTGCTGTGATGCTGGAAGGTATGCCAACGATATTCAAATACCAGCAGCGTCACCCATGGCAGACAGGTTTCAACGGAGCTTCCAGACTAAGAACGACTAGGAAGAAGGACTTGGCGGTCTACTTCTGAAAAGAATTAGCCAGCGAAAACCTTATGAATAGCAACGGAACATTGTCTGATATAGTGAAGCCCCCAGGTTAGAAGGCACTCAAAAGATGACTGGGGAAGAGCCGCCTCCTCAAAGTAGAGTTGACCTCAATGACGTGGATGGAGTCCAGCTTTCAGGACCTTCATTTGCTGATGGTGCATGAGTCAAAATGAGCACAGGACTGGGCAGTGTTTCATTTTGTTTCATTTTGTTGTACACAGGGTTGCTATGAGTTGGAACCGACTCGACGGCACCTAGTAACAACAACAACAGACATTCCTTGGAGCCCTGGTGGCACAGTGGTTAACCAAAAAGGTCGGCAGTTCAAATTCACCAGCTGCTCCCTGGAAACTCTATGGGGCAGTTCTACTCTGTTCTCTAGGGTTGCTATGGGTCGGAACTGACTCGACGGTGATGGGTTAGACATTCCTTAATCTGCAGAAGTGAGCACACCTACTCGCTTATCGACTAGCTCATTATCTGACATTTTGCATTTATGACAATAGTGAAAAATGTACTATCCAACTATTTTGCTCATTAACGATGGACATCTGGCAGTAACCCTTTCGTGACCAGTGGGACCTACAGCACCCATCTACGTTTTCCACATCTCAGGTCCAGAGGGACATATGTGTCCCACATAATATTTTGTGATCTGATGTGGTCATCCTCCATTTTTGCATAACGCTGATTTTCACATAATGACCTGGTCTTTGGAACTGAACCACATCGATAAGTGAGGAGCGGGTGAATTAGATATAAACTGAAGTGATCTTTAGCCTCCATCAATTTGTTCATGATATTCCTATTTTTCCTTTTTCTTCTGTGAAGCCAAATATCACATTTTTGTTTCATTCCTTAAAAAAGGGTGAGCAGAATTTTAGGAAGGGTGTCCTTACAGTTTCAGAGCAATTTACTTGATGACTAACCTAAATGTTGGTGGATCAAACCTACCCAGTGTCACCGCAGAAGAAAGTACTGGCAATCGGCCTCCATGAAAATTACAGACAAGAAAACCCTATGGAGCAGTTTTACTCTGTAACGCATGTGGTTGCCATGAGTCAGAATCAACTCGATGGCAATGAGGTCTTTTTTGTTTGTTTGTTTCAATCAGTTAAAAAAATGGAATATATAAATTCCCCACTAAAACATCAACAAAACAGCTAAGTATTGGAATTGCAAAATTCCTAGCATTAAACTAATTTTCTACCCACATCTGTGTACATTTGAACAAAAGGGTAATACTTTTACTTGCAGGTTTTAAAGTTCTCAAGGTTAGGTATGTGAGCAAACAGACTCTTACATGTGTGGACTTCTTTGTCAATCCTCTCAGACTGCCAGACAATTAGCTTGAAGGGTATTTTCAAGGCTCTTGTGTCTGCATTAATGTTAATAAAAGCTTGTAATATGCTGGAGCCTAAATATTCTAGGGAAAGTACTTAGAATCATAGCTCATAATAAGTCTGATTAATTCATAATAACCCACAGGAGCCCCGGTGGAGCAGTGGTTAAGCACTCGGCTGCTAACCGAAAGGTTGGAGGTTCTCACCCACCAGCCACTATACAGGAGAAAGGTGGCATTCTGCTCCCATAAAGATTAATAGCCTTAGAAACCCTATGGGGTAATTCTACTCTGTCCTATGAGTTGGAATGACCCAATGTTTAAAAGGTAAATTAATGCACGCCACCTGCTCTCCAGCTTCTCCCAGATGGAACTAGTGACATAGGTAGATAATGAAATAATGAAGTGGCTGAAGTCTGGATAAAAGTAGGACATCCTATGGGGGCCAGCTTCGGCAATCTTCTCACCTGCCTCCAGGAGGCGGTATTCTCCATTCCCTGTAGGGTAAAGATTTGCAGCATATCCTGCTGTAAATTTTTACCTTTCCTCTTGAGTCCCGTCACACTCCCTCCCTACTGCTGATTCTCAGATGAGCTCATCGAAAAACAAAATTGGCCTAGAATCCACAAAGCTTGCTCTCTGGGGAGCACTCAGAGCCTTTACACCTGCTTTATAGTTTATATTTCTGGCTCCATTTCGAGTCACACCTGGTTCATGCCCCCAATAAACCATGTCACATCCTGCTAGAGTAAAGGTTCTTTCAAAAATATGAACATGGAAGAGAGTTCTAGCAAAATGGCGCTCTAGGCAGAAGCACCACACTGTCCCTCCAC